TAGGTAGTAGATAGCAAACTTATACCTCTATAGTTAGAACAAACCATGATTTGATTAGAACAAACTAAACATACATGACAAAATTAAAGTTTGGGGAGCAAATGGAGTTCTTGAGAAAAGAAAAAATGGCACTTTGCCATTATTAGGCAATGACAAAATTATAAGTAATAAAAATGTACATGAAGAAGGTAAAATTAAAGTAAGGATCACCCAAGACTCAGTTTTTCTACAATATAATACGTATTGTAAATAAAAAAAAGGTGGTGATGATGAGTGTTTCAAATGATATTTTGTTCCACAATATGAGATAGTTATTACTTATAATGTGAATAAACAAAAATAAATGTCGCTATTTGCACTATTTCATTATGGTTTGCGTCTTCAAATTCCGAGGTATGTTTTCCTCATCTTTATGCCTTCCATCACCCTTTTTTGATCGAATTTTAAAGACGCTTCTTGAAGCCTACATCATTAACATTAACACGGTGGGTAAAATTGACTGATTCTTTCCAGATCGTTGCCAGTTAATTGTGGTGCTAATATTTACTTTTATGAAAAAAGAAACTCTCCAATAAAAATGATGCTATACTCGTACCAGTAAGGTGCTGACGAAATTTTAAACGTATTTTGATTTTAAAACTAAGAGAGAAATTCTTTGTGATAATACTTTCATTCAAAAACAACGTTTAAAATCATAAATGGTAAATGTTGTTTTTAAATTAAAACCTATATGCGTCTTAATGTTACTTTGGTATACCTTCGCAAGTAGGATGAATAGCAGGGTAAAAACAGATATGATTTAATCCAACAGAGGGTACTTACGTCATTCTAAATATATAAATATAAAGTAAAAGATTCGAATTGGAAAATAGAAAGAAAATACACTAATGTTTCAAAATGTTTGACAAATATGGTATAGTAACAAGATCATTAACCATAGAGTTTTATTAATAATATCCAATCACTGGAATCATTAAGGATAGAGTTGAAGGAAATAATTTTGAGTCATTTTATTGCTTTTGTCATTTTATGCGTAACCGTAACCTTTGTAAAATAAAATAAAATCTGTTTTTATCATACTTGCTGAAACGTGTATAGGTTTGGATAAAAGTTTATTCTAACAATCTGCTACTTACCCTTATGAGATTGTTATATATTAGTTACTTTTTCTTTTAAAAAAAATCCTGGACAAAAATTGAAAATTTGAGTGACTATAGCACGCATGAAATTTGCGCAACTTCTAAGATTTATTACGTTTTAGTTTCATTTTTATAAATAAGGAAATAAACTAAATTTCGTTATCTTTGAAGTACCTACTCGATGAAATCATAAAACAAACACACGATGTCCTCTTTACAACTGAGTTGAAGAGAAAGTGAAACAAAATAATTTAAGCATTCGGCAAATAACACATTCTATTTTGATAGTTTTTATCAACAGAATGAATGTGCTTTACAATTGTTTCGCCGAAACAACACGAAATTAAGAATACCTTTTATCATATTTATGTCGTCTACTACCTCCTTAGCTTATTTTTCATTGGTTGTTGCTTTGTATAAATTGTTATCGATGTCTAATGATGTTAATTTGAACAAAGAAACTTCAAGATGACATTTTCACGAATTGCATTCAATATAGTTGTATTTGCTATATTTATATCAACATCTTATAGCAGTTCAATTGCAAATAAGGAAAATGAAGGCATCCTTAAATTGCAGGAGCAAACTCAAGTGCATACAGGTCGTTCTTTGGGAAGTAAGAAATTTCAAATTTACTAAATATATTTATGTGCTTTAACTTATCAAATCCTGGCTTTTATATTGCAACAATGTGCACATTGATATTAAAATTGCGGGAAAAAAGGGTGAAAACTCTGAACTTTTGATTTAATGATCATATTTTCACGTACTAAGACTCAATCATAATGTTTCAATTGTCTAACCAGAAATTTTTTGATTAATTTGTGCTGACGATTTTTAAGTTATGTTGTTATACAAAAAAGCGCACTTTCTCTGAATATGCATCCCTTATTTTGATTCTCGAGTTCCAAAATACAGGTAGGAGGTAGCCGCTACTTAAAAAAAAATAATAATAATAATAAATAAATAGCAAACAAAACAAAATTGCTCCGAATAAAATTAGGTATGAAAACGACCAGAAGTTTTTTTTAATTAAATAATATTTATTTGGTTTGATAATTTTTTTTTTCTTTGAACTGAGGCTTAAAAATTTTTGATTCCGTATCTGAACTTATTATACGTTATTTAAAATACATGTCTTGATAGACTTTTGATGTTTTGTTTCTCAAAGATGAAAACTAAAAATAAAATAGTCACGATCCCACTTTTTATCAATTTTTATTTTATTTTATAACCGCCGTTGAGCAGCCGACCCGATTTTTGTGTTCACGACTACTAATGTTCAACGCCGTAGCCTTGTAATTTTGAACCAACTCAGAAGACAAGGAAACTCCTGGATCGGTACCCCCAGAGGTTTCGATTTGGAAAAAAATAACACATTTCATTCTATTCAATTATCGTCGTTGAATCTCTGACCCAATTTAGGGTCTACGACTACTAATGTCCAACTCCGTTGCCTTTTAATTTTGAGCCCAATCCAAAAAACAAGAGAACTCCCGAATCAAGTACTAGGAAAAATTTGTCTTTGTAGATATCTATTTGATTGAACTAACAAGCATTTGCGTCACATGGACAGGAAAACCTCGAAAACTTCCAACGATTAACCTGATAGCAAAGGGCCGCTAACACATGATCTGTCTACCGATGATGATAATTTACGTCAGCACTATGATAGGTGCGAGCTGGGTACGGAATTCGTATCGACCAGCAATCACTGGGATTCAAACCGTGTTCACATCATTGGCGGTGAATGCTCTGTCCTCTGAGCTACCACGGCCCGCTCTTACGTATCACATTAGTAGGTTCACAATATTATCTGGATTTCCACTGTAAATGTTTATTCTATAATCATTTAAGGTTCTAGCAATGATTTTGCTTCAGCGCTTGATTTAAAATCATTTTGACCACCACGGTATTTAAATTACCCAAGACTTCTACAGAAGACCAGTTAAGTATGCCGTGGTATTTGTTACTGCCAGAAAGGTTTTAATAATTTTGTCTACTTAATTCTTTTCTTTATTATTTTTTTTATTTTCATTTAACTACCTTTTTAACACATTAAATGCCATGGGGGTCACCGATGACCTGCGAAGCCAAGATTATTAAAAACACATAATTCGAGTAAATTTTCAATTTTTTTATATTATTATTGTTACTAAAATGGTTTGAAGAAATTAATACAATATAGAACACACAAAAATAGTTTTATTTATATACACGAGATGCTAACTTGCTCCGGACAGCGAATAAATATTTTCAAGTGGTAGTTTATTAATTGTGATCCTTGGTTTAATAAATTCCATTTACTAGATTTTTATCCACCACTATTTCTAAACAATTTGTAGGCTTATATAATTCACCACTTTTTTCAGATATGTTTTGCTAAACCTTTTAAAAAATTAACAAAATGTGTCAAATATTATCAAATTTAGTTTGGGGTTATTTACCGTTTGGCCAGACGGGCAAGCCATGTAAAATTAGCACTCAACGTGTTAAATATTGTTGAGAACTACAAAAAGTCTGAATTCCTTCACTATGGAGCCTTGCCAATTTTTAAAATAAATATTAAAACTGGAAATTTAATTGTTTTGTTTTATATTGTTATTTATTAATTGTTTCGTTTTATATTGTATAATAACACCTACATAATTTCACCTACTTTTGTTTCTAAGACAACAGTAAAATTAAACATTTGGTTTTGTTCTTTTCACTGGTATTATCGTGAGAAATATGGAAGTGTATGCACAAATAAAACAAACGCAAAAAACGACTAACCTATATTTATTTTGTACAAATAAATATATAACTTAAAATGTGAGCATAAATCACACATGTATTTCAAATGCATGTTACTACTTGCAGATGCTTGCACAATCAATCCTTGTAAAAATGGAGGAACATGTAAACTTGTTGAATGCAATGCTGTTTGTGACTGCCCCACGCCATATAAAGGAGATACATGTGAAGAAGGTAGGTATGATGTTAACTTTTAAACAACATAAATTTAATCTTTTCATTTTGGGGTCATGTGTCTTTTTAAAAAAAAACTAAATACTGGTAAATAAATAAATTCTTACAGTTATTTATTTTCAAAAAAATTATTAAAACTCTTTGTCTCCTTTTATGTATTAATATCTTCAGACATCAACAAATAATAACTGTTGCAACTAAATTTAGAAATGAGGTTCTATGTGAATTGACAGTAATTTAATGTAGATCTGGATAAATATTGTTTGTATATTAAAGAAGCTGCTTTTATAAATAAAACATCCTAAAAATTAATAGAAAACCTAAAATATTTTGTACCTGGTATACAACCGAAATTCAGTTATACGAGCAAGTAATAGAAATTCGACTTGATGCAAATTTCATCATTTAATCATCAAAAAGTTTCTTACTTTCACTTTTTTCTTTCGATATGTTCTGTTTTATTCGCTCTATTTTTTCTCTACCCCATTTCTTAAATACAAACCAATTGCATATTCTATTATACATATGGTTTCAGGTTTGTCTTTTTATCAATAAAGCAATAATATTTATTCTGCTTACATCGCTAATCAACTTCTAAGATACAAATGAAAATTTAAAAAAAAATTGTTCATAAAAAGCTAATCTTTATTTCATGAATTTACAATATGAACATGAAATTTTGAAAAAAGGGCTTTAAAATAAAAAGTTCTGTGTTTGTGTAAACTCTTTATTCCTATATAGATCAATCAAATAAGTATTTTGTTGCACAACATCATGCCTATGTTAAAAATATTGTATCGAATTCAATTTGCTCAATAACTATGTAAACAGTTCTTATCCTTCTTGAGACAACTTGCATTCATCATATTTGTAATGTGCTAGGATTTTTGCACATTTGTCGGGACTCTTCCAATTTGATGCATAGTAATGTCTGTTCCTGTCTCACATTTTTTCAAACGAGCATGGATCGCTGGACCTTTAAGGTGCTTGACTTCCAACCAGAGTTATGCAGGCTTCCTTCAAACATACAAAAATCATTAACGAGACGCTGTTAATAAAATAGTGTTTTTTTTTAAAGTATTTTTGTCGTTTTCAATTAGTTTTCGTCGGGTGCAATTCAACCCCCTCTTTCTCGTCGTCTTCATAATGACGAAAAGTTTCACCTTCGCCTTTTCCTAATTTTAAATTCCGCATGCTTGTAAACGTGGAGTTATTAAATAATTTTTTAACTCCTTTCCTTTTGCTTCTGTCAAAATGACTGAATGAAGTCTCGCCCTCTGTTTCTCATGAACGTGATATTTGCGGGCTAGAGTATTGAAAAATAAAAGATTAAAACACTATTTCTTATGCTCGAAATCATGTTTATTTCCCAATCTACGCACAGCATAGCAGACTAATTGTATTGTGTTTAGATATTATGAGTTTATTTTCAGCCAGATATCAGTACTCTTCAAATATTTAAACCTAAAAAAACAAATCTAAACTTACTCATAATTTTCAGAATTGAAATATAGGAAATTTTGCGACTGTTTTCTACAAAAAAATTTTCATGTTATGACCGTTTTCTTCGTCCATTAAGGGTTCTATTCTTGAATTCGATGCTGATTATTAAAGTCTTGTATTAAAAATGAAATATTATTTATGAATTGATCAATATAAATTTCGCTATTCTTAAAAGAGCCCGAACTACTCAAATTATCTTCACAAAAAGCTACGAAGTGAAAACATAATGCTAACAAACCCCATAGCAAATTTTATGAAGCGAATCTGCAGTATCTTCATAGATCAAGGCAGTCTGGCAGAGTTTGATATTGCAAAAAATTCACAGCTTAATGTAACAGAGTAGCAAAATTTTCAAACATAAGTCCTTAAAAATTATGCAAAAAATTTTATGTTGTTTGAATTCAAGTTTAATTTTATGCAATGATTTTAAAAAATTCAGAATGAGTCCGTAAAAGGAGAAACCTGTAATGAAGTTACCGAAAAAAATAATTTCTTAGTTTTTTTTTCTCGGATCAACTTTGTAATCTTTATACAAAACAAGTTTTGCAATGTTTAAAAAAATGAGTCGTAACAATTTTTCCCTTATCTGTTTACTTATTTTTTAAAAATCAAAAGAAACCTTAGATGAAAGTTAATTTATAGATGTTGTAATAAACTGCTAGAGGTTTTCTCTGCTGCTCTGAATTTCTCACTTTTTTCTACTGTCTCAAACAAATTGTAAATACCCGTTTTTTTAAAAAAGTGAAATGATAATGGTTTCTATTTCGATGCCCCTCACCTCTTTCAACTCGCGTTAAACACAAATTTTACGCATCAGTTTTTAAAAATACAAAAAAAAACTAAAATTATAATATTGATTTTTTTTGAAAAAAATTACAATCAATTTTCTTTTTTAGATCCATGCACACCCAACCCCTGTATGTACAATGGAACATGCGATATTGTTGATGGAAAAGCAAAGTGCACTTGTTTGAATGGTACCGAAGGAGATTTTGGAGAATTTTGTGAAAAAGGTAAATTTTTTTTTTTTTTCAAAAAACTCTCTCTCTTACTTATAAGTTGTTACGCTAATTAATTGTTGATTTGATTTTCAAAAAGTTGGAAGTCATTTTCGAAAGATTGCAATCAAGAAACCATTGAAGAGTTCAAACTACATTGCAAATGAGATTGTGCAGAATCTCGGTGCTATTTAGACATCTTTCATAAATTATCTTCAAAATTTATCGTACATAATAGGAAATAAAGTTATTATGTCTTGTCCTCGTTTCTTGTTCGTAAGCTTTAAATTGGTAGAGTCTATAAACTCCTAATACTTTTTTTAATCCCTTTGGGACCGGTCGTAAGCTTTCGAAGATCCCCACTCTCCAGATTGATACGTACTGTTAAGAGATGTCTACTTGAGACCACGTCCGTGTGAGTCCGCTAGAGCCATAACGGCTCATTTCATGTGTGGTGACGTCAGCCATAGATGATGAATCGAGCTATGGCGTATATGCGATTACGGTTTTGTAGGAATTAATCCATGATTTTGTACCATTCTTTTTTTTTTAAACTTTCTGTAGAAATATAGGTTTTTTTTATTAAAAACCACTCGTCGATTATTCCTTGCCGAATTCACTTCGACGCTTTTTCCACTTTAAAAACATTCAAAGATTATTAGTTATCACATTTTCTGGCATGTGTGGTGAGCAAACCGAAATTTAATGATTCCGCGAAACAAATCGTTGTTCCGTAGTAAAATGTTATTAAGATAAAATATGTTCAAAGAAATTTTGATTTCGTTAAAAATGTCTCTTAGCTATCCAGATAGTTTATATTACCGATAATTGCTACCCTTCGAATTATGTGAAATACGACTGCTTTTAGCTTTTAACGTATTTTTATGTCCTTTATAAATTGAAGAACTTAATGGATCTAGTTGGTAAGGTACATTTAAACTAAACTAAACTCAGTGACGTGACAGCCCATAGAGGGCCAAGGCCTACTGTGTCCATCTCAGTTGTTTTCTTGCTCTTGGGCTCTGGGGTGCATAAGCAGATGTTCCGGTCAGGTGGTCAGCCGAACGCGGAACCCCAAGTGTTTAGTTCCCAAGCATGCTTGGTACTCATTTTTCGACCCACTGAAGGGATGAAAGGCTGAGTCAACCTTGCCCGGCCGTAAGATCGAACCCAGAACCTGTGGCAGGGGAACGCAAAGCGCTACCACTCAGCCACCGAGCGTCAGAGGTCATTTAAGGGTTATTTAATAATCAGGGATTTCATAATTTCTTTTCAAATTAGGTAAATAAAATAAAGTAAAGTGTTATGAGCCCCTATTTTTACTATATCTTATATTAAAACAGTTCGGTTTCTACTGATTTCCTTTTCACCTTGATTATAACTACTCTGAAAATGCCACATATCCGCTTTTTCCACCCAGTCCACTCTCAGAAATGTAATTTTTACATTTGACAATTCAGTTAATTTTAAAAATCATTTCACCACGAAATCATGTGATCTATGATTAAACGTGAACTCTCAAATCTATGACGAAAATATTTTTTCAACTGAAAATCCCATTGTAGTGCATTGTCGGAGATCTTTGACAGGAATGACGAAACTAGGAGACCAAAAGTGACGGAACAAAGTTATCGAGGCTGTGAAAGTGACGGAACAAAGTTATCGGGGCTGTGTGATGGTCAAGAAATTTGCCTTATAGCAAGAAGAATCGAGCTCCGGGCATGGGTGTCATTTATCTGTCTGGTTTATCTGTCCTTCTTGTGGTGTTTGGGTAACATTGAGTCACCTATATGATGCCCACGATAAAGTGATAATTTGAAAAGTAAATATGTCAGGCGTAGCAAAAATTAGCTTTTTAAAAAAAGACGAAATATTTCTTTAATTTTGACAAAATTTGTTTCCTTGAAGAAGTGACGACAATTATTTCGTCACTTTGACGAAATGTTTTGCTCGGAACATAAACCAGGAAACAGTTTCGTCAAAAAAAAGTTTCGTGGAATTTAAGTATGCATTTTTACAGTGCTATCCAATTATCAATAGTAATAAACAATTCTCTTTTATTTCTAGCTTGCTTTCATGGGAGTAGCATTGTCCTTACAAGAAGTGGTGAAAAAGAAATGAAAGACTTACAGCTGGGTGAAGAGGTTGCTTCAGGATTTCAGCCAGACGGATCATTTGCATACAGCCCAGTCATAGCATTTCTGCACAAAGACAGAAACATGGAGTCTTCTTTTATTCAACTTACTACAGACTCTGATGCAACTGTACTAATAAGTGACAAGCATCTTATTTTTCGGCGAACTGATGACGAAGACTTTGAAGCAGTTCATGCCAACAAAATCAAGATTGGAGATCGCGTTTACACGAAAATAGTTGGAAAAATGGCAACTCTCTCTGTTGTCACAAGTCTGAAATCTTTGGCTTTGGTTGGAGTTTACNTGATGACGAAGACTTTGAAGCAGTTCATGCCAACAAAATCAAGATTGGAGACCGCGTTTACACGAAAATAGTTGGGAAAATGGCAACTCTCTCTGTTGTCACAAGTCTGAAATCTTTGGCTTTGGTTGGAGTTTACGCACCTTTAACATTGGATGGTACCATTGTCGTCAATAGCATTTTAGCGTCCTGTTACGCCGAGGCTGACAGTCATACGAAGAGTCACATCGTATTTTGGCCAATGAGAGTACACTATTATCTTAAGAGTGCAATTAAGAGTTTTGATTGGCTTTGGAGACAGCCAATTAGTATAGTGGAAAACATAAAACACTTTGAATTTGAAAGTATTGATGCCAACAAGGAAAACATGTTAAAATCGCGAGAATTTCAAGGAATTCATTGGTATGCTGAAATGCTTACATGGCTAGTTGGATCAAAGTAAATTAAGATATTATAGCCAGTTTAGAGATAGTTCGGAAACTGATGAGAAAACTACGAAGAAAAATTTTAAATTTCTTGTATTACTTCAATAAAATATTTTCATGTCATCCAATGCTGTGAAATATTCATTTTAAATTTTTCTAATATGAAATTAAGATAATTTGTGGAATATCTATTTATGCATAAGGGGCCGTTCAAAAAGTATGTACATCCCGAAGGGGGGGGAGGGGATTTGCTATTTTGTACGGTTTTGTACGATGGGGAGGAGGGAGGTATTATACAAAGTACGTACATTATAAGCATACACCAAATTTCAATTTGACTTTTTCCTACACATTATACATATGTTTGCTCTTGTATTTTTTTCACACGTCGACCACTTGTTAGAATGAGTAAATCAGTTCTCAAAAAATTATGAATATTTTAAATAAATATTTAATTTTATTTAGAACATAATTATTTTAATTTTTATGAAAAAGGGGGTAGACTAGTAAAATGTACATACTCTAAGGGGGAGAGAAAGACCTTATGTATGGTAATGTACGAAGGGGGGGGGTTAAAATTTCTCCATTTTTGTGTACGTACTTTTCGAACGGCCCCTAAAGTATTTATTTTTAGTGTAGAGCGTAGTTCAACAAATATAATCTAATATATGTAGTACAACACGTGTAAATTTCTCGTAAATCAACTAGTAATATATATTTTGCATAACTGTAAAAAATCTAGGAATAAATTTAATTCTTTTATAATTCTAGATATAAACTTCGCTAAATTAAAACGGAAACATTTTATCACTTGGGGTTTTCTTTTTCGTTATCACTTCGTTTATTAGATAAAGAAACGAAGACGGTTAGAATAACAGTAGGCATAAAAATAAACAATTTAAAATTGCTCGTTTTCCGCAAGTATTATTTTTATGCATGAAAATTATTTTCCAAAGCAACCGCGTTTTTTACAAGTTATATTTTGTGAAAAATGACAAAGCAAATTGTTTATTTCTTGCTTGTTTGTCCACAAATCATTGGATTTACTGCTGGTAAATATTAACGTTTACAGTAATTAAAATAACATCTCTCTTGGTGAGATAACTTAATAAATTTAATTCAAGATATTTATAATTGATATCTAAAAGAAAATATGGATTTTGAATGGACTTTATATTTTATCTATTTTCGCATAGTGATATATGATGGTTTCCTACAGGAGATTATTAAATAAATTCTTGATATAATAATTATGTTTTTTAAGCCAATTTTCTATTTGAATATAGATATTATAAATTAAATTTAGATTTTACATAACTTTTCACAGTTTTGCATCTGAGTTTCACCCATTGAGCTGGGTAATAGGCACGTTGCTCCCAACTCCTGTATGTCATTTTCTACAAAAATAATTAAGATTAGAGCTTACGTTTAAAATAATTTTGTACCGTTGTATAAGCTTTGATGATTAAGGTATATTAAGCTTTGATTTAAATTATTAGACAAGCAGTCTATTGTAACAAAGTAAATTCTGAGTGAAAATATCGTAACTGACTATCGTAGGATCAGAGAGGAAAGTTAAGCTTTAAATCTGAATTCAGTTTGCTGAAAAAAATATTTGATATTTAGAAACTATTAGTATGATTTTTTTTAAGTGGTTTTTAATAATTTTGAAATCAGTGTTACAAGATTGGATAAACTGCTTTAGAAAGGGCAATCTACGATTGTTTTAGCGAGGTGAAGAAATAATTATCAAACATTTATACTGTTTCATCTTTAAGTAAAACAAACAAGTTTTATTCTAAATTTAATTTAAGTTATACATAATTTGAATCGTTTTATTTAACTATTTTATATATATATATATATATCCATATAAATAAAGAAACTATAATGTTCATAGTATAAAAATAAAATAATATTTTTTGGAGTAATGTTANTATATATATATATCAGTTTTTCCCAAGCCAACTGTCTTTGGTATCATCAATCAGAAATTGATATTTTCTCTTGATCCTCATGTAGATTGTCGTCTAAGCTATCTGTTTTCGTCGAAGATAGGCCAATTTGTCTCTCTTAACTGCTGCATCCTTAAATAAATTTACTTTTCCAGTTATAAAATTTCAGCATTCTTTTTACTTTTGTAAAACTTTCATATCAATTTTCTAATCTCCGAGCTTTGGAAAGGCAAAAACTAATCCATCAATAGACTGAGATACATTGAAGATTTAGCCGGCCAAGCGGTCAGCGTGCCTGACTGTGAAGCGCTGCGGGTTCAAATCTAGATCAGGGCATGGATGTTTCCCTCTCTGTGTGTGTGATGTGTGAATGTGGCCAAACCTATGAATGATTGTCTGTGGCAGGGTGGAGTGAGTAATGTTGCTCGTCTTCGTGGCTTCGGTTCACATGTGCCCACCGGGTAACGTTAAATGAGCAACAACACTTCCGGCATCTTACGAGGTGAAGAACGAAAGTTCACTGCCTGCCGCTAAACAAAAATATTGAAGATTTCATTCCACTTTTCATCTGTTATTAGTCTAAATATTCCTTATTAAAAATGATGATTGTGCGACGATCCGTGTCGCCGCATTGTGTTGAAACCCCGAATTCGACGTAAATAGGTACATTTTAATTAATTTTAAATTGGTTTTACGGTATGAACAAAATTAAAGTTTATTATTATTATTATTTTTTGTTGAAAAGGCAAGATATTTGTTATTCATTTTATATTAATTAATCTTACATAAATTCATCATATATTCAGTTGAAATATTATTTACACATTTTTCAAAAGAAAGAATTAAGCAGTGAGTGTTTGCGATTGCCATATTAAAAATAAAGTCCGCAAAAATTGAGCCACTTTCTAGTACTAGAGCCACAACCGGAGTGCATTAATGACGCCCAGGTTTTCGAAACTGTTTTGACGTGACTGATTTGCCCTGTTTAATATGACTCTGTCAGTGATTTAATGGTAATAGTATCAATAATTTATTTAGCATAGCACTAGAACTTCACAACGGGCTATTATAGACGGTTTGGAAAACCCTCCTGATGGTGATCCGATGAGTTGTCCTCACAATTTTGATCCTTTGCAGAGAGGATGGCTTGCTAACTCGAGAACTGTATGATAGAACAGTTAAACGACCATCGATTTCACACACCCTCTATCCTTTCGCTTTCATTGAAGTAGTCACCTACCCGCTCACTGACCACAGCCATTGATTCTTGATGTAGGTGTTCTACTGGGTATCATGCTCTTAATTAATAAGCATCAGGGCTGGAAAAACATCGTAGAAAAAGAAACGTAGAGGTAGCAGGTTAGTATCCCACTTTAACTACGGAAAAATTTATTTATTTCTATTAACGCATCGAGTGCAGGCTAGTGGGCTCATTAGAAAGTTCAAAGTAAGTTTATGTGCGGTGGGCATAGTCTTAACCAAGGAGATAGCATGCCAAAAGCAAGGAAGAGTTTTATTTATATTACGTTTGAAAAAGAATTTTTTTATTAATTCTACTAAGTAATTTTTCTGTCTTTTTAACCGAAATTTTCAGTTTTTTATTCTCTGTAATCTTGCCTAAAGCTCAAGATAGATAAGCATTACAATCATTTTATTTAATGAATAGATATCGTAACAGACACCTGAGAGTCTCTGCATTGCTTGCCTTTCCCCTATGCACAACATGTACAAAAAGGAGTGCTCATATGGAAACATGTAAGGCCAATGATATGGCCTTTCTTATTGATGTTTTACGTATTATCTATTTTAACAGTGCAGTCACAAAGTATCTTCCGTACATTTGTGCCAACGTCTAGAACCATCAAGCAACGAGAAGTGCTTGAGTAATAACAGCAGCAGTTGAAAGAGAACGTCGGAAATTTAGTGCGATACGCTTGTGTGCCTGCCTCTTCGTTTTGCATATGCTTTCTTTTATGTTGTGCATTCAAGAAGCGCCATTGCTTCAAAGATGCAAAAGAGCAGGAAATTATTTTTAGCGAATAGAGACATTTTTTGTACCTTCGATTTTCGAGGTGATCTTCCATTTCCTTGAGGTACATATTAATCTATGTACCCCTTTTAAGAATGTAATAAATGGTGCAATGTGTTTGTACTTAAATGTAACAGGTACTGTTTTGTAGCATATGTCCTCGATAAAGTTTTTTAAGCTCCGCCACACCTTCAATTATTTCAGAGCCATTTCCATTATTTACCAGGAGGTTTTCAAACACTTGGTAAAACATAAATTTGAAAATCAAGTTTTTTTTTATCTCATCTAACATGCATACGCTCGTTTATTCAATTTCAGAAAATGCATTTCACTTGTGTACATTTGATGAAAGCGATTGTGGTTATAAGTCTTCCCAAACCAGTGAGATTAAATGGATATGGAAATCTGAAACCGAAAAGACCAAGGATTTCCCGATTGCACCAGTTTCAGATCACACACTTGGAACAATGTTTGGAGGTTATTGGTATGTCGGAGACGAAGGTGACTCTCCAAAATACATCCGAACTGCAATGCTTGAAAGTCTTGTATATGGAAAGCCTAAAACCTTGTTGAACTGTTTACATTTCTACATTTTTTTGGATCACGAGCACAACAGTTTCTTTTATGGAGGAGTTAAAGAAAACTATATACAAGTATTTATAAAATACGAAAATTCCAAAGATCCTTGTAAGTATTAGATAAATAGTTTTAATATATTTATTTATTTTTTACAGTTGCTTTTATGTATATATATGGGTATCATGCTCTTNTATATATATATATATATATATAATATTAAATTTTGTCTCTCTCCAGCAACACTGATTTTAACTAAAGCAAAAAATACAACAGAAAACAGAGAATGGACATACGTGAATGCAGAAGTTGTAATACCAGATTAATTTCAGGTAATGATTTGTCGAGTGTTTTCTATTGGATTGTCATTACTATATTTGTGACAAATGGAAATTGGTTTTTATATCAAATGAATTTTCGTAAATATTGAGACCCTGAGCTTGATTTTGAATTAATTTTGAATACGCGCGACTCTTTTTCCAGCTCTTCCTAAGTAGGTAGGCAGGCATTTTATTTAAGCAGCACTAGATCTCCTCAATGGGCTATTTTATTTTATAACAGTCGT